GTTAAAAAATGAAGTAGTCTTTCCTTGTCTGAGTGAGAAATGCATTTCTCATCCAGAGAACATGTTTTCTTTTACATTTTGGCAATTGCACTGCAAAGCAGAACAACAACAACATGCCTTGGCTAACAGGGCTCGAGGCTGCTGCTTGTGTTAGCTCTCTGTGCCTCAAACCTGAGTCTGCTTCATCCAGAGTGAATTTGTCCCTTGGGAAAAAAAGGCAAAAAACAGTGGTCTTGTGGGTCTATGCTTCCCGAGCAATGCTGAAGTGTTGTTAATGCAGTGTGTTTCCTGTGCTCTGTCCTTGTTGGCTCTGTGAACTTTGCAGGTAGGGACAGACCTCAAGGAAGCTCTGGGTGTTTGCACGAGCTGACAAAATTTGCCCCCGGATCTGTGCAAAGCTGATGCATAAGCGTTTTGGTACATGGTGATGCTTCTCAAAGCAAATTCTGTGGTTTGCAAATTGTCCTGGAGATTTAAGCTGCAATATGGGTCTTGGAGAATCTGGTAAGGAAAGTAAGTCTGGCAGATGCCACCAGGACCAAGCATTGGTGACACATTGAAAGCTGCCCAGGTAATTTGGGTTATATCTGCTGGCAATCCTGCTTTATAGTCTAAAATTTCTCTTTCTGAGGGTGCATTTTTCAGTCACAGCAACTTGGAGCAGGATGGGGTAGAATGGGGGAACAAACTGACAAGCTGATGTAAACCTCACTCAAAACACAAGATGCTTTTGAAGTGGGATCAGTCCCCCCACAGTTCTGCTGTTCTCCTTTTTATATGTTTCTATCTTCTCCCTTTGTCTCTATGAAGACACAAGTGAATTAGCATGGAAACACTTCTCATGGTCTTGATAGGCAGGAAAATTGAATTTGGTGAGATTGTCCCACATAATGTTTAACCAAGTCTATTTTCTATCCACAATGATAGGGACGTGAATGTAATTGACTTCAGCATTGGTTGATTGATCTGCAAATATACTGTCCAACAGCTCCAGGTGGTTCAGCCAGGAAAGAGCCGGTAAATCCATGAGCACGTGTAAACATGCCCTGTCTTGGATCCAACCAAAACTTCCTTTGGAAAGTTAAATAAGAGGTGAGGTCTAGAGTTTTGTTAGGACTGATAGTTGCGTTGAATTATTTGGTCACCACTGAATGATTTTTTTTTTCTTCTTTACCCTCTGCCTCACTGTAGGGTAGCAGGGCTGCTACTGCTCCCGGGCTTTTGTTAATATTTTAGTCTATAGTGAGAAAAATGGAGAGAAAACCTCACTAACAGCCTTTAATTTTTTGTTTGTTTTGGTCATTTCCGTATTAATGGAGACAGTCTTAGCAAGAAGAACTAGCAAAGCCACCACAAAGGGCTAGGGGTGGATGTCCTGCAGGTGGAAAAGGAGATTCCATGCTTCCTGACCCAGATTAAGATGTGAATAAGCAAGCTGCTATAAATTACTTGTAAATAGGTTTCACTTTCTTTTTCTGCTCAGTTAGTTTTCACCTGAGATGATTGCACCTCATTTACAGATGGGTAAATCTGTGCTGGTAGAAGGAAAACTGTTTAACTAACTGCAACTTAATATAGATCTCTTTGATTTAGTTCACATCTCTGACCCTTTGGGATGCAAATTGTGTCTCCTTCACAAATGGGTAGGAAGAATGTGGCTGGACATGAACATTACTAAATAGACATAATTTGAAGCAGGTACTTCACGTTTTGTGTGAAGGTTCTTGCACCATGGATGAAAAATATGATTTGATTCACTTCCATGAGGCATGGGTACACGGCATCATTGCAGGAAGGAGCCCAGCCAAAGGTCCAGGGATGGAAATGCTGTCTGCAAATAAAATCTACTATGCTAAGTAATGCAAAACAGTGTTAAACGGGTACAACAGATCTGAGACTTCCTGCTCCAAGATCCTTGATTGGTCACCTTTGCAGGTATTATTTTAATTTGAATGTATTTTCCTCAAGAAAATTTAGGTGATGGTCTGGGTTTTGAAATAGGAACATACACTGTGATATGTCAAATAACACATCGTGTTTCTTAGGAAGAACGGTCCAGGGCTCTGTGAACAAGCCCTCCAGATAATGTCAGCCAAGAACCAAAGCAGTGAGTACTTGATAGGCAATTTTTGTAAGCAGAGATTTTCTCAAAACTGCAGAGCAAAGAGAAAAGCATATTTTTAAAACTTGCTGCCTCTCAGGCTGATGCATCCTGTCAGGTTGGATCTCTCATGTCGCGTTACAACCTGACTTCGGATGTCACAACCCAGCACATCAGCCACAAATCTGCCAAGCCCGGTCTTCACGTGAGAGTGATTTGAAGAACAAGCTTATGAGGAGAGCTTTTATTTTTGGATCCACTTCCCACAGAATATTTCAGACCAGCCACTTCTAATACACACCAGTGTGAAAGGGAGCGGACAGAGCTGAAACATCAAGCTCTAAGACCTTTGATTTGTCACTTTCACGGGCATTATTTTAATTTGAATGTATTTTCCTCAAGAAAATGTAGGTGATGTAGAAAGATGTAGCTTTCATAGATGAAAATAAGCGTGACATGTATATACTTGCATCATGCAAGGCTGTTTCAAGTACAGAATAATGTTTGATATCTTTTAGGTTTTGTTTGTCCCCTGCTGTCATTTCCCGCTGTGCCAACTATCAGGCACTTAATCACCATGGTATCCTGTACATGAGGCGGTGTTAATGCCTGTGGGACACGTGGGTTTGAAAGGACCTGTAGGTATGAACATCTTTTTCATCTTTTTTTCTTTTCTTTTTTTTTTTTTTTTAATTTATTTTTTTATTTTATTTTATTATTATTATTTTTTTTGGAATTAAAGCTTTTGACATTTCCTTTCCGGGCCATATCTTCAGCGTGAGCAGAGTAAACCCACCACTTTCGGTCCAGGGAATCTGCTTATGTTGCCTGAGGACCTGTCCCAGGGCTCCTCTCGAAGCCGAGTTGTCTGCTATTTCTGTAAATAATGCACTTGGGCAAGCTTATGCTAGAGAAAAATGCTGACTTGGCAAGTACAGTGCTGAAAGTATTTTTCTGCTGCTATACACAACTGCGGGATGCGTTGGCCTTGTCTCCACAGAAATGTCTTCTGGCTGCACTGGAAAGTCTGCACTGTAATTTAGGCTCAGTGATTATCTGAGCTCTGCTTTCTAGTGATAAAGCACATCTCTCCCCTTAAGTTGTGTTGATCTTATGATGTGCATTCACATCACATTAAATAAATTAAAAAAAAAAAAAGTTGCATTTGAATGACAGAGCAGGTTTGTGCTACCACTTGGATTTTAGTACTTACACATGCTAAAATAAATATTCTATGCTAAATATGTATGCGTGTACTAGATAAATACCCAGCTAGTTAACATTTTGGTTAAAAGTTAACCTCACTGAAAGTTATTCAATAGTTAGTGGTTACCTTGCTATTCTGTGGGCATGAAAGCACAAATGACAGACAAAAAATCTTCATTTATGTGATCCAACAGAGATCTATCTTGCAATGAAATCCCATGCTGGTTAACTCCTTTTTCTCCTTCCCTTACGTTACCCAATGTCCCCTCACTGTGAGACCTCTATGGGCCCCAGAAGGGGGTAGGGTCAGGGCATGGGGCTACTGCAGAGGGCTGTAGCCGAGGCTGTACATCTGGTGCAATCTGGTTCATCACATCTGGCCAAATTAGAAAGGCTAATTTCAGCCCCAGGAATGATGAGCGTGTAAAAAATTCGTACCTGTTTATGCAGGATGCTTTTCAGAGCGCTGCTGACTCCAGGTCTCTGCTGTCCTGCTTCTGTCATCAAGGATCAGCTCCCTCCAGAGGTGAAAATGTCTTTAAAACGCTCTTTCTCTTTATTCTTCCTACTTGTGACTGTCCCCACTGACAAGTCTGTAATGTGTTCCCATTATGTCGTAAGGCCAGAGATCAGAGCCTGTGTGGATAACAGCAAAATACGTCCCCTTCGTCCAGCACCAGCATCTGCCCTAATGGCAGACACTGAGTTGGCTGAAAGTAACATTTTTTTACAACCCACTTCCTGCTCAGTTAATTAACCTTTCAAACCAGAGGCTTATGTAGTTTGTTAGGCAGAAATAGTCTTTTAGGACTACAATTTAATTAACATGACTAAAGGGAGGTGGCTGCGGGAGCAAGGTGTTTGCACAGGCACTGCCTGCCCAGCTCCGGGCATGTGGAGTTTGCCACGCGTAAATAATTGGGTTTGGCACCTGCTTGGTGCTGCACCTCACCTGCTGTGTCTCCAGATATGCTTCTAGGAATTACAATCATCACGTTGTGTTTCACAATGATTTTTAATGTATTATTGATAGTACCTTATAAAATTAAATTGCACCATATTCATAGTAATGCAGTTGAAAAGTTTCAGTCTATTAACGTTTTATTACTGGAGGGGATGGTAGCTTGTTGTTTGAGCTACATAATATATCCCAAAGGGCAAGAGAACTTGCTGAAAATATGGAAAATATAGCTTTCAATAAATGTTTTAAATTGTTAATTGTTAGCTTGTTCATGGTAGTGGTTCACTTGCACAGTAATATGATTTTCTTTAACATTTTGAGCAGGCAGTGGTGCCTCCTGTGGTTTTCGCTGTGTGCTGCAGAGATACCACAATGCAGCAGGAGGACAACAGTTATTTAAGCCTCTTAATATTTCTCAATCATCAGTGTGGGGTGTTTTCTTTAGAGAAAGACCAATTCTTATACCGTAACTCTGCATTAAAACATCCACAAGATAGCGAAGCTTAATCTTCTTGAGGCTTGCTGGGAGCCCATTCTAGCCAAAAGCAGGAAATTGCACCTTTTACAGGCAGGACTTCTTATGCTAAGTTCCTGCTTGTTTTTAGAGATTTCCCAGGCATGAATTACTCACACTGTTTCCCCTTAAATTCCAATTGAGATACAGTGGTGGGGCGCAGGTGGGTGCTGCTCTTCAAGGAACTTGTTCTGATGGTTCCTTGCAGGAACGAAGTGAATCCCAACCCTTGGCTTCGCAGGAAGGATGACCCCAAACCTCCGACCAGACCCACTGCAGAGAGCCAGCAGGAAGCTGGATGTGGGCTGTTGGCCGAGTGAACTGCTTCTGCATGATGAGAGGTGTTTCTTCAATGAGGCCAGGAGTCCGTGTAGCAGAAAACTTGTCCCCGGAGAGGAGGAAAGGCAGTTTAATGGAGAAGGGAGTCAAACTTGAGTCAAACTTTATTGCCAATGTGGTTGCTTGCTTAGGTAGTGGTGTTGCCATTACTGGCAAAATCAGTTATGTACTAAAATCAAAACCCTTGATTTGAGCTAAATAGGAATTGTGAAGTTAAAATTTGAAAAAAAAAAAAAAAAAAAAAAAAAAAGTAAATACAATTTATAGTTTAAATGGGAATTTTCTAATCCAAAGCTGGTGAAAAGCCATTGCAGAACATAAATTTCAGTAAAAGAAAGGATTAATGTTACAGTAATGTTGTTACACACACAAAATGTAAATAAATGAATGTGTGTTTATAGCGATATAAATAAGAAAGTCCCTGGGAAAGGGCAATGTCTGAACAAAGCGAAGCACATCAGAGGAGGCGATGGTACGTTGTGGGTCAGCACAGTGCACATCTTCCATCACCTCCTGTCTGTCACAGGCTTTTTGATTTCTGGATGAGTCAGAAGTTGAACTATGCAGCATAAAAACCAAACTGTGATGAAATAGATGGTGACCTGGCATGTCAGATATCCATACTATTTTATTTTTTTTTTGTACTGGAACAAGTGCATCTCTAGAATTGTCACACAAATGGAGAAAGTTGTTGTTTCACAGGTGGGGAAGTTTTTAAGACCATGTTTCAGACTTCAGTCTCTGTCAGTTTGCTTTTTGAAATACTCACTGTAAGCGGATGATCTCAAAGAACCCAGCTCCTCCGAACAATGGCTGTTCCCCTATCAGGACTGCAGTTAACCTGCTTAAATGAAAGTGTAGATGTGCAACAGGTGCAGGGACTTTCACACCTTTAATAAGTTAAATAATTTCTTGGCAAACTGCTGGCAGGCCAAGCTTTGATTTGGGGAGTGATTTTTATTCACTCTTTGTTTTTCATCCTCCTTCCCAGGTAAACAAAGAAGCAGCGAACCCCAGAGTAAAGACTGGAGGAAGCAGAAATACAGCACTCACTTGGACTCGGCCTAAAGTTAAGCTTCAAAAGGCCTAGAGAAAAGTATAGATTAAAAAGGAATCTCACTAGATTTTTGTATTCAAAGGAGATAGTGCTCCCCTTCTGGTACCTGAGATCTAGTTTGCAATGCTGAATGAGAGACTGAACGTATTGAGGTGGAATCATCTGCAATGTGTGCAGGGGCACTTTTAATCCTGGCCTCTAACCTGAGGGAAGGCAGGCTTCCTTTGATGAAGCTTCTTCATTCAAGTAAAGATCACATAATTACGATTTATAACATTTCCCAAGTAAGAAAAAATATATATAAAACTATTTGCTTGCTTTCTTCTTTTTCTCCCAGAGCTGCTGACTGTGCCCATGAGTGCTCGGTGGAGATTTCCCCTCAGCAGTGGGTCCTGGACCATTTTCTTGTGCCTGGCTGGGGCAGGGTTTGGGGTTTGGTGTTTCTGCAGTGCTAAGCACAGCCTGGCCCTGGGGTTCCCTGGAGCAACCATAATGCAAACAATAACAAGGTACTTGGGCAGGGGGAGTGCGATACAGACCTGCATCGCTGAGCTTCCGGAGCTAATATATTCCCCAAAGGATCCCTGGGTAGCAAAATGAATTAGAGCAGCCTTGAAGCTGTTATAATTCATGCTCAGCTGGCGCAGAGTAGCCCATCAGACCTGGGAACAGCGAGCATCCCCCAGTGCTCTCCATCAAGGAGAGCCCAGCCATCAACAAGCATTCGGCAGAGGCTCTCTGGTTTTCAGCTCTGTATGAGCGTGGACAGGAAGATATAAGGCTCCTGATTATTATTTTTTCCTTATGTAGCTGCCTCAGTTTGTTGTTGTTGTTTTCTTTTATTTATTTTTTTCCTGTTGCAATTGCACTGTTTCAGTTGAAGCCACCACGTAACCTTTCTACTGGTGCAAGAGTGTAGAAAGTGAAGATCCGACTTGGATTTCTGTTCTCAAATTCACTGGATTAATAACAAAGGGAAGGGGCTGTTCTCTTCATTCTGGAGAAGGCGATCTCTGAAAATCTCTCACTGATGAGAGATCAGAGCAAAAAAGGTAAGAAGTTGTCCAAGGAAATGACCACATGTAGGAGATCATAGCCTTTTACGTTGGGTAGTAATTTTAGAGGCAGATAGGATGAGATCTGCCTCCAGGCAAGCTTCCTGCACAGATAACTAAATAAGTAATTCTATTATGAAATTCTTTCTTCCTGTTTATGCAGGTACTCTGTCTATCTTTAGAAAAGTTTAATGTTTATGCTTAAGAAAACAAGAAAAATCTCTTAATATCAAATAAAATGAGTGTATTTACTCTTCTTCCCTCTGCTGCAAAATCCCTATCAGCTTCTGACTTCATTTTTCCAAAATTCAGATTGCTTTAGGTTGGACTGCTCCAGCTTCATGGAGGATCTTGGATTCTGAAATGGATTCTGCTCTTGTGTACTACTCCAGAAAATGTTTCTTCTAGAGATATGAATATGCTATTGATGCGCTTCAAATCTAGTAGAATTTAGTGGAGTTTAAGAATTAATTACACTTGCAGCAAGAAACTTTGTTTTCCATAGAAGATAGCTTCAGAGCACACTAATCACAAATGTGGCAATCCTTACAGAAATGAGTGATTTTCATTACAGCATCATAAAATAATTATGTTTTGGAAACACAAATTCAGAGCAGTTGCAAACAAAGATGCCGCAACAATGTGAATGGAAGCCAACAAGAAAGCTTTAATTTTTACTGTTAATGCTTAACAATGATTTTAATTATGTATTTATTTGGGGGGACTGTTCAGCCAGGCTCCTTCCAGCGGAGCCCGGAGGCAGCGGGCACTGATGGAGCACAGGCGATCCCCCCAGCCCCAGCAGCACGTCTGAGCCCTGCAGTGCCACAGCCCTGGCCCAGAGCTTGGGGGGCTCCTTGGGGATGTCCCAAAGCCGCCTGGATGTGGGGCTGGGCACCCTGCTTGTGGATCCTGCTGGGGCAGGGGGGGAACGCTAAGGTCCTTGGCCACCTCGGCCAGCCTGGGGCTCTGCGCTATGCTGGCAGCAGGCTTCCAAAGCGCCCCATTCCTCTGGCAAATGGAGGTGGCAATCTGCCTGTGGGACCTCCATGGAAGTGGGGAGAAATTTAATGAATTGGACAGCAATCTGGTGGAAATAGTGCTGGGCTGGTTGGCCCTGCCCTTGGGCAAGGTCCCTCCTGGCTGTGTCTCCACAAGGTGCCATGCGCAGCGCTGCTCCCCACTCCCCCACGCGTGCTGGGGGGGCTGCAGGAGCACATCTGCAGCCAACAAATCTTTCCCGGGTTTGTAGTCCAATTTGCCAATGACATAAAGATTCACTCTGCAGCAAGAAATATGTTTATGAAGTTTGAAAGGATTAGCTAGGCATCTTTTTGCAATTCAATAAGTATTTTATGATCAATTTTAGCTAACACCAGCATTTCTGTAAGCAATTGGTCTCTGCTTTTGACAATGCTTTTGCTGGGTTTCGCTGCTATGAGAGAAAGCTGAAGGGTCTTAGTACCTGATGGGGATTAGATCGCTGAGAATTGCAATCAGTTTCTGAAAACTACAACTTCTGATGAAATTCCCAAAGCATAAGCAGCGATGTATTTAGCCAGTGTAAATCAGGGAAGTTCCACTAGATTTAGTAAAGCTAGCTTACATCACTTGAAGGTGTCAGCTTTTTCAGATGCTTTTGAGAAAATGGCAAAAGGGTTTTTGTGTGCATGTGTGTTTCTGAGCCTTTGGGATTATCAACAAAATAGGCCAACCAGGAATAATAATAAAAAAATAAAAACGAAGCAAAATGATCCAGAAAGTGTCTGTCATTCATTTATTCTGGTGAAAACTAGCTTTTAACAACTTTTTAATTAATCATTTTTCCAAACTCCAATCTGATTTGAATAGGATTCAAACTTCTTACAAGTCAAGGGTGCCTATGAAGTGTCCTCATATATATATATAACTATATATAGTTTAATATATAGTTATATAGTTATGGTTAGATAGTTCTATATATATATTTATTTATATACATAAATTGTATATATATAAATATATATATATATTATATAAATATATAATATTATATATATAATATATATTATATAAATATATAATATATAATATATATTATATAAATATATAATATATATACACATGTATATGTATACATATAATGCATATATATGCATTATATATATGCATAATATATATTATAATATATAATATATTATATAAATTATATATAAATATATATAATATATATATAAAACTATCTAACTCTCTATATAAAAATAACTCCTAGGTCATAGATTACGATGAAAATCTACATTGCCAGTGCTCTTGCTCCCTACGTCCTATAAGATGATAACATTTAACTTCAGCAGAGGCTCTCTGAGGTTGCTCAGTCCTAAAGCTTTGACCGCTTGTAGCTCGAAGCTGGGGCCTGCAGTCTGCATAAACCCAATGTAATGGATGAATCAACACCAAATGGAGCGATTTTAGTAATAATACCAGAAATGTATGTCCTGGTTTTGGCTGTAATAGAGCTAAATTTCTTCCTAGTAGCTCATATGCTGTTGTGTTTTGGATTTAGGATGAGAATAATGCAGGTAGCGCAGTGATGGCTGCTGCAGAGCAGTGCTTGTACATTGGCAGGGACGTTTCAGCTCCTCGTGCTGCCCTGCCAGTGAGGAGCTGGGGGTGCACAAGGAGCAGGGAGGAGACAGGGCTGACCCACACTTGCCTAAGGGATATATCCCATGCCATATGATGTCCTTAGTAATAAACTGGGTAAACTGGGGGATTGGCTGAGGTGGGTACAGCCAATGCTTGGGGATCTAATGGGCAGCGTTCAGCAGGTGGTGAGCAATTGCATTGTGCATCACTTGCTTCGTTTAGTCTTTTTGTTGTTCTTGTTCTTGTTCCACCCCTCTCTTTTTTCCCTATCTAATTAAACTCTCCTTATCTCCACCCACGAGGTCTTGCACTTCTCAGTTCTCTCCCCCATCCTGCTGTGGGGGAGTGAGCGAACGGCTGGGTGGTGGTTAGCAGCCTGATGGGCTGAACCACAGCAGTTTTGTCTCTTGCACGTGTCTTTCTGAACAGCACAATGCAGGAACTGCTCAAGCTACAGCTTTTTAAAGAGAAAAATAAATAGCAACAAGTAAAAGAATAGATAGAAACAGCAAAAAGGCTACGTTGTTGGCTGGGAAGTAAACACTGCCAGCTCTTCCTGAGCATTTTCATTCATGAGACACAACACGGTTCAATTTTTAGATCAAGTCTAAGCTAATACAATTTCATGGTAGCCAAATAGGAGAGACTTTTCTCTGACAGCGTGGATTACAGGTGGGTGCGTGGCCATCTGTCCATCACCAGAAAGAAGAGAGAACCCCTCTGATGGGTGGATTGTTTTCCTGGGGGGACATCCCTGCGGCTGGCTGTGCTCCCCATCTCGTGTCCATGGGAAGCAGCACATGGTTTGGGCAAGCAGGAGGAGCCTTGAGGTTTGTCTGCTCTTGCTTGGGGAGCTGGGGCTGCGTGGGGTGCTTCCTGGTGGGAAATCCTTGGGAAAGGACTGGCCATAGTGAGGTGAGGGCCAAGAACACGTCCCGCTGCCCTGCCAGGGTGCCGTGCTGTCAGAAGGCAATGAGTGTGCGATTCTTGCCGTGACAAGTTCAATAAATGCAAACTGTCATTTCTTTCCCAGCCTTGAATGGATGTGCAGAGACTAACTTCAGTCAAGCCGGAGTGGGGAAGCGTCTTCAAAGAGACAGGGAAGATTAAAGCACATTTCCTGAACGACAAAGTTCTGTGATAGCGGCAATTACTGTTCCGCCTAAGGGCTAGCTGGAATTTAACTTCCATTTTTGTTACGCAGAAATATAATGCTCTCTGTGGGGAAATATGAAGAACTCTGGTTTCTGCCTCCTTGGTACAGACTGTTTGGGTTTTGGCTTGGCTCACAGGGTGGGTATTTAAAAGCAATTACAGGGCAGGCAGAGCGCAGCTGCCTGCTACCAAACCAATGTGGTTGGCAGATGAGATTTTGGGGTCAGCCACCTCCTGCTGCCATGAAATACCCTAAAAGAAGCTGTTGTTTTGATCTCAGAGGGAGTTTTAGTGCTTCCTCCTACCGCTCTGAATGCAGGCTCTCATGGCAGCCCAGGCTTCCCCTGGGTCCATCCCCCTCTGCTCCCAGAGGGCTTCCCAGCCGATGGATGCTGCTGCTGCCAGGCACGAGCAACCCTCCCAGCTCCAACCCACACGATGGCATCACTTTTAGTGTGGTCTACACCAAGTCTTGGGTTTCCAGGGCTGTGCTTTCCTGGGGAGCTCTCTTTATGCAGCCTCACCTAGGATTTGTTCAGCTTTATGGCAACACTTCTTTAATTTTATGTTTCTGGATGGGCAGAGTTTGTTCTCATGTTTTATGGAAATGTTTTTACCACTTCAGGATTATTATGCATTAGGATCAGTGATGTATTTTCATCCGCATGTGGTGCCTGTAATGAATTCTGCTGCCAAATTTGTGCTGTTTACCCAACGGGCATGGAAATCTGAGGGCTGTGGATGCAGGCCTCATTAGCAGCAATGATTTAATTTCTTAATCCAATATGATGTCTTGATACCGTGGTGTTAAGAGCAGTAGAAGTACTTGATTAAACCAGGGAAGAGTAATGGGAAGAAAAGATCCTAGAGCGAGATGCTTCCACCTTCCCCCTGCTGATCCTTATGAGAACATTCCTGGGCACAAGCCCTGTGGGGATGCGGGACAAGGCCAAGCATCCATGGTTGTTCCAGCATTAGAATTGGCCTCTTATTTTGATGGTATTGTCACCCATTTTTTTTACATCTCCCTTTTCCTTCCTTCTTTTCCAGAGCGTATTTGTAACCATGGAGATAGGACAACAGGAGCGGCACCTCGCCGCGTGGATGGGGCAGGGCAGCAAACTGGTTTATGGAGGGGCTGAGAAACTGCGCGTCGGCCAGTGGATGAACAGGCACTTTATGTAAGAGTTATGTATTTGCCATATAATAGGATGTCTGTTTTATTTGTTCTTTTGGAGATTTATTAGTGCCTGAAGAGGAGAGAAACAAACAGCCCTAATTGAAGGCCCTAGAGGATGGCAGCATTAGAAATGGTCCTTCCCAGGATTACGCTTTTTACAGAAAGTAATAGTTTATGCTTCTGTGAGTTTTTATTGATGTCGGTTGTGTTTATCCTAATTCCCGTAATATATTCATCTACTGGTGCATGTGCTTGGAGAAAGAGAAATGTCCCTGGAATCTGAACAGCTTAATGAAAAAAAAAAATAAAAAAGAAAATAAAAAACCATAAGTGAAGGCACACTTTTCAGAGCACAGAGAAATGGACACCGGGTGAGGAGCGCGAGGGATCTCATCAGATCCCAGATCCACACTTTGGTTGGTAAGCTGGTGACAGTCACAGGGCTTCTGCCCACAGATGTGATAAATGCAGGACCACAACCAGGCACACATTCACATGTCTTTATGAAACTGAATTCAAATTTTAATTACAGGGGCTGAAAGGGATATATGGTTTTATTAAGAATATGTTCTGTATCTTTTAGCTCAAAGAAAACGTGTTTATTTATACCAGCTTTTTTATTTTCTGTTCTATAATGCACAGCTGCTTACTGTGTTTTATTCTTTGTCCTCCCCGTGAAGAGAACCATCAGTGTTGTGTTAGTCTGATGATGGATAAAGAGAGTAAGGTTCTGGAGGCGTGTTTTGAATTGTTCTGTACTTTAGTAGTATTGATCTTGGGGCACGTAATGGCTGTACTGCATTTGACCTCTCCTAGTCAGGTTATTTTTAGGACAGGTTGTTTATAGAATCGCTAAAGAAGAGCTAACCCGAGGTGAGTATTAGAGGATGGCTGATGTTCTGCAGATGTTAGCTCTTTTAACACGAGCTCTTTGAATTCCTAGGGGTAAGAGTTGTCTGGACCCACTCCAGTATTAGCCTTCCAGCTTCAGCACAGCCGGCCAGTCTGTTTGCCGTGTGAGCTGTGTGTGCACCACCCAGGTGAACAAGGGGAAAGCACCAGGGAAACACGGAGAAATTGTTGGCTCCAGCACTGAAAACCTGGTTTGGGAGAGGCCATCCTGGTACGTCCAGGCTGTATCGCCTGCCAGCAGCCTCGAAGGAGGGACTGTGGCCTCTTTCCTTTCCCAGTATAGCTATGGCTTTATAGCTTGTTTCTCATAACCGTTATTAAATATTTATTAATAAATATGTTCACAACACATTAATGTAATAACCACACTCTATTTTTCTCTAGTACCACTCTGAGACCTAGACAGTAATGAGGTTGCCACCAACAGGCACTGACCCTACAACATACTCATTTTTCCTCCGTTCTGAATAGATGGATGTTAATCTGCCCGTGTATGAGAGTTTTCTGGCTTTCCCTGTTCCTGCCTCTCTGAAGCCTCAGGGGAAGAAAATACATTTTTCTGTGAAAACAAGCTGTTCTTCCCGCTCCCTCACAGCAGCTCTGGGGCCGTGCTGGGCAGGGGCTGCAGCAGGTGTGCTGAGCCAGGCACGGAGCAAACCCTCAGGGGCAGCGGTGGGTCCTGAGCAGCCCCAGGGATGGTCATGGGGAAAAAAAATCAGCTGGCACCGGGGTTTGGCAGGGTGTACTGGCCGGTGCCAGGAGGGAAAGTGGCTTGAAATAACAACCACTTGTGAGGAGAATGCTTGGTCTCAAATATATTTATGTGGTTTTGATTAGTGCAAGAAAACAACAACAACAACAAAACCCA